TGAGGGTTCCGTAGTTGTTGGAGAAACCTCGTCCTCTTCATCCGTCTTTGATCCTGCTTCTGATTCTGGTTCAACCGTCGGCTTTGATACCATGTTCGGGATGACGGGTTTGGCATCGAAACATTTGATTGTTTCGATTTAGAGCATTCTCCAGTCATGATCTTGTGATTGAGATCTTTTAATGCTAATGAACCCATCGTAGGATCGTAAACAACACACACACTTTATGAAAATAGAGATTAAAACAGGAGAGGTATATTAATTGAATTGAAGAGATATGTTTACAATCAACCATTCATAGTGTATATATACACAATGAAAAGGTGCCACTTAGACCATCACGTTGGTTGGCATGGGATGCCATAACCGTCGTGTGTAACTTCACTAAACTTCCTGCATATGAGGTGTCCACTATCCTCATTTATTTAAAATACATAATTAAAACTAATAAACCTATAATAAATACTATGTTTTGACATTTATATTTCCAACAGACTTTGGAGCAACTCTTTTGCTTCAGCTGTATGTGATCGGGAAGGACTCGACTTGGCTTTTGTAGGTTGTGGGGTAGTTGGTGATGGAGAGATAGGGTCGGCTGTTTCTGGAATTGTGGGTTTGGGTAAGGTGGTTTTTGGCTGGTTCTTTGGTGAGGTGATTGGAGGATTGGAAGCCCAGAATTGTTCCCAGCTTTCGGCTCCTATAGGATGGGATACTTCGGCTCTCTAGTTAGATTGAGGAGAGTAATAGAATTGAACTTTAAGAAAGGTGACATCGTGTGAAATGAAGTATTTTTGTTCATTTAGACAGTAGCATCGATATCCCTTTGGAAGGAAGAATAACCAACGCACCGATATTCCTTTTGGAAAGAGGAATAACCAACGCATCGATATCCCTTTTGGAAGGAGGAATAACCAACAAAGACACCTTTCACACTCCTTGGGGTCAAGTTTGGACTTCTTTTTGACTATGAACGTGGACAAAGACCAAGCAACCAAATACTCTCAGATCAAGATTGGAAGAGGCATAAGCCTTCCGGAAGGATTTTTGTAAGAGGGCTAGAGGTGTTTGGAATTTTAATACCCGTGAAAGCAACCAATTAATGAGATAGCAAGCTGTTAGAATTACATCACCCCCAAAATTTTAGGGTGTATGATTATGAAAGATAGGGATCGTGGACCTCTAGCAAGTGACAATTTTTTTTTCTTTCAGAAACGCCATTTTGTTGAGGGGTATTAACGCACGAGCTTTGGTGTATAATACCATGTCTTGTGGTACAGCTAGACATGGCCGAATTGAAATACTCGGTGCCGTTGTATGTTCGAAAGATTTTAATAAATTAAATCTAGAAATTACAAAATATAAAATATCCACTTCTTTAAAAAATATATTAGATGCATATATTAATTTGTAGTTTAGTACTAAAGGATACAAATTAAAACTTGCTTTTTAATCCGAAAGTAGGTAAATAACTTTGAATAGGGTCAAAAGTTTTATATCATGAATTGATAAATGTTTAGTTTTTTTATTAGTTTACGACTTCATTATCGTTCCACCATCAATCCCCCTATTGTGTGACCAAGTTATCATCAAATTGTAGGTGTACTAGTCAATCAAGATAGAACAATAGTTTCAATATTTTCAAGTAATGGTAGGACAACCAAATGGATGAGCCATTGGACTACAAAATACGTAGAGTCAAACAACAAAGTAACAACAAATGAAAATACAATACAATCCAGATGAGTTTGTGACAAAGGAAAGTAGAAGTCAAAGAAAGGGACGATTAATTTTGCAAATATAGATCCTGCCTTCTTCGATTATGTATCAAATTCGGTCTAAAAAGATTGCAAAAACTAACATTAGAAAGCCATTTTCCACTAATTTAAATTATTATTGCACGTTGAAAAGAAAAACACCACACATGTTATGTTATTTACAATTAAAATTAATAAATTAAATCTAGAAGTTCCAAAATATAAAATATCCACTTCTTCAAATTGTACGACACTTTTTCAAACCTGCTCCCTTTTCGAGTCAAGAGATAGATAAATCCTTCATTCCTTTTCAAGCATAATGATGCAAATCAGGCTTTAATGAAACCAGAACTAATGAATCAAGATCTAGACTATCCTAGTTTGTTGTATGTAGTTGTATTCAGTAATTCAACATTACCTATTTGTTATATGTATAGGATTAAATTGAGCGATGGACAATACTCCTAGGTCACCAGAAACCGAAGGCACGTACTTATTTAAATGAGTGACGACAACCCACCAACCCAACCCAACCTGCAAGGGTTGGGTTGGATTTTTTTTTTTTTTTTGATAGAGAGGGGGAGACCCCTCCAGATCAAGAAAAAACGCTAAAAGCAAGACAAATACGCTCTCGGGTAAATTGCTGTAATTGGGTTCGGTTATTTAAATGACTCAAACCGCCTAACCCAACCCGTCTTGTACCCCCCCTAACTTGGTGTATGCTATTTGCCAATCATATAATGTTGATTATTGAGAAAAAACAAGGTTATGTTACAAAGTAGACCAGCCAAAGTGATGCTGCAAAGTTCAAGGTTTATGAATCACATTTGTAATCCAAAATTTCAGATTAAATAGGATTAGAAGCGCACACAACGCAACTTTAGCGGTGTTGATTTGGGAAATGGATGATGCACTAAGCATATGCATAAAGGAAGAAGTTAGGAAAGAGAGCTTCACTATCTGGGATTAGTATTGCATAAGGATAAAGAGGTTCGTGAGGATGTTAGTAGTAGGATAATAACATAGTGGGAATAATGGTAACAAACTTTTGGGAATCATCTCTAATTAAAAAGTCGAACTCAAGCTTAAAGTATGTTCTTTAGAATGATGCTAACAGCTACTACAATTTAAAGATAAAACTTTGGGTCAAAAACATGTACACTAGATGAGAATTAGGAGGTGGATATGTGGATATTAGGTCCTATGTATTAGATTTGATGATTGACAAACTACACTGAAACATACTTAGACTACTCGTACCTACTAATCAACTAATACTAAAGATTAGTAGATCTGAAGGATCTCAGTGATGCTAATGACCTATGTAGTTTAATGGAAGCTTAACTACTGTTGATCTGTCGCTGAGTCACTAGAGCCTGAAGCTAAAGATGTGTTCACTAGAAAGCATGTTCACCAGAGATAAGACTGAAGACATCTAAGACATCTCCTGAAGCATGTTCATGTTGAAGCTAACACATCTCCTGAAGCTGAACAAAGTGAAGCTGACACCAAAGGATGTTACCACTGAAGACTAAGCCCTGATGAGCACAAGTTGAACATCCGTTAAGCTGAAGCATCAATTGATCACTTGAGGGGTCTTGACATAAATGACCTTCAGGGGAAACCAAGTCTGAGCTTCGACAAAAAAGTACAAGTACATTTCTAGCATTAAATGTGCATTAATTGTTCATTACCAAAAGAGGCCACACTCAAAGATATTGCAACAGTTCTAGAAGTCAACTCTTTGTCTGGGAAGTACACATAAAAGACAAATGTGCTTTAGGTATAAAACTATAAAGCAACAACCAAAGGACAAAAAACTCTACCAACTTGCCCGACAAGGACCGGAAGAAGATCAACCTTTTGATCTTAACCCATAAGTCCTTACTCACCGATCTAAAGCTGTGTCCTATAATTACAATTACCAAGGGATGATGGACAATTTGGGTGTTTGAGAACTAGTACTTCCAAGAGTTTATTGCTAAATATCTACATGCTTAATTTCTTACCATGTTCAAAGATTTTCCAGAAGGCGAACAAGTGAGCCTCAAGAACATATGTTGAGCGGGCTTCTTTTTGAAAAAGGGGGAGTGAGGGGTGGGGAACTCATAGGGTGAAGGCGAGGAAGCTTGAAACCTTAATTGCAGGGGCTCCTAAACAAGAGTTTTGACTAAGCCGCTTTGAATTAGCCTGTGCTCGTTGAAGGTTGGAAGCTAGGAAAGATGGTAATGAGGCTGGCAACTTTAACATCTGCAAAGATCACTTATGAGCTTAAGCCCAATCGTTTCTTAAATCATTCTGTCAAATTGTAAGGGGATCCTAATTTAAACTTGTATACTGGTTGATCTATTCTTTATACAGAGTTCAATAAGAACTTCCTTTACACATTAAGAATTGAATTCACCCCTCTACAATATCCATGCTACAAGTTTGTGATTGTATTTCAGCTTCGGGACAACAACTACGTAAGGAGAGAAAGGTTTAGAGACGATAAATGGGAAAATGTTAGGAAGCCGGAGTAACTGAATGACACTATTTGAGGTGATTTGGTCATCTTCAACATAGACCTATGAATGCACCAATTAGAAGATTAGACTTACAGGTCAGCCAAGATTGCGTTGGGAGGGGG